TTTAATTTGATATATTACTACCTTTTTAAACAAAAATATAATAAATAATATTGAGATTAAAAAGGTTACTGGTTTCACCAAAGCATGACATATATTGAGTTATTGACATTTTTTATTGGATAGGCATTGAAATATTATTTTTGTTTAATAAATTATATATTAAAAAAAAAAAAAAAACCTTGGTTATTTATGATTGTTTAAGATTGTCAGTAATTTAATGGAAATTAAAAGACTTACATGCTTTTTATTATTATTATTTATGTCATATATTTTATTAATTATTTATATATTAATAATCAACACCATTATAAGCAAAAGCGAGCTAATTCAAGCACAAGGGTGGCCGGGCGCCCTCACTGGGCTTTTAAAAAAATCTGTAAATTATTAATTTAGGCCCTCAATGCTTTATATAATTTTAATTACCGCTCAAATAATTAAATCTAAAAACATATTAAATGAAATTTTATCCAATCCAATAATTAACTCCAAAAAACAACTAAGTAAAATTTTAGATTATAAATAAATAAAACACATTTTATTCAAATTTATTAAATAAAAGTTTTGGGATAATAGTACACATACAAAGAGACAAGACACGGCTAAATAATAAATTGTGTATGTAACATTTTTCAAAGTTTTGATATTCTTTATTACGTTATTAATCATATTCTTCTGATTATAGGTGGTTTCAAGAATTACAAATGTTTAGTGCATGTATTGCAAAATATCATTTGCAATTCATAATGTATTTCTATTTTCTTCAAAGATTTTCAAGAGTTAATTTCCTCGAAACAAAATACAAAACCACATACATACATAAGCTATGCTTATAATAAGTCGGCATTTATTTAAGTACAATACAGATATAAAGCACACCACTCTTGTTTATTAACTCGACTAAAAACTAGCCAGCAGTAACCGCTATTTTCATTCCAGCCTCGCAGTGGCCTGGGAAATTGCAGATAAAATAGCTATTTCCTTGGGCAAGCGTGATCTGATCATTTCCTGTTTGATACACTTTGGCGTTTTTCGGGGTTGTGCAATTTTTGTAACCTCTCTTGTTTACCACCACCACGTTATGGAGGGCTGGATCATAGTTGAATACTGTCGAATCATCAACAAAATACAATTTCATTAAATTGTTAATCGAAATTTCAACTTCTAAAGTTAATTAGAGTTGATTAACATGAATGAATCTTAACAGTAAGAAAAATCTAATAATTTAAATATCACTCACCGAGAACATCACCGGCCTTAAAACTCTTTCCTTTAGGCCAGTTAGCGACGTTATATGTCCAACCATTAGAATCAGAATTACCAACTGTGTAAGTTGTGGCTTCACTCAGCTCAGAATGGAGCAACAATAAACACGCCATCACAATCCCAAACGCTGCACTGCCACTTCCCTTCACCATTTTCTTGATTTTAAAGAGAGCGAAATTAATGTCTTAATTAATTAATAGTAAGTTGAAGGGTAACTGGCCCTTTTTATGGAGCCAGTTGTGGGGACCTATTAGTGTGAACACAACTACTAAAAGGCAGTCGTTTTGAATTTTTAGAAGCAACTAAAATGATGGATGGAGGTATAAATTTGAGTTGGCAGTTGGAACAATGAAGATGACTTAAGAGGAAACTGTGTAGTGGGTTGTATATAACACGTTATTTTTGTTGGATGAAGGGTTGATGTGTTAAATGAGGGCTAAGTCAAATCATAATACTTAAAGCAAATGTGAAACGACTATCGTCTCTCAGTTCTATGCAGTAGATCGATAATGATGAAAGAAAATTGTAGAACATTTAATTGAATTGCCAAATAAATGAAAAATGATCACATCAAGAAGAATTAGGTCTAGAATGTTACACATTTTGTCATAAGCTTGCTAGAATTGAGAAACACGAGATCATAGCAAAAAATAGTTCATGTAACTTATTAAGACCTTAAGTGAGACACATTACCCAATGAATATATTTATATTGGACCCCTAGTTTGATTGATTGATTTAAACAGTTTAGACTAAATAATAAATTGTGTCTAACAACCTTAGAGAATTAATTAAATTATCATGAACTTAAAACAAGTTATCACGGGGAATTGGTTGGTGCGATGCAAATTGCAATAGTGTGGTAACCTAGAGAATTTATTATGATGCTAAGTTGGCGTCGAAATAAGACTTCTTTACTAGCGTCCTTTTCTGGTGTCGAAATAGATATCACTATGACAAGATAAATGTCATGTAGTGATTCTTAATTTCAATTCTTTATGATCACATATATTTTAATAATTATATAATGTGATTAAGACAAGCTTTTACTTTCTCTCATTTTCTATTAATTATAATTAGAACATTATATTTTACTCAAGATTAAATAAAGAGAATTTGTTTCAATTTCACTCTAGATATATGATGGTTGGCAAGACCTAACGGTGTTCTTCTTGTTGTGCAGCGAAAACACAAAACTTTAATACTAGCTATTGAAATATAATAATAATAGTACTAGAGAAGAAATAAATGGTCACAATAAATGAAAAAAAAAAAAAAAAAAAAAAGAACACCAAGAATTTAATGAGGCTTGGTATTGTTACCTACGTCCTCAGGTGCTATAGAAAACTTCGGATTTGTTTGTTTAAATATTTTTAACTATTCTATTCATATTATTTCCAAAATACTAGTTTGTTTCCCTATTATGAAAATACCATTATATTTTCTTTAACTAATTTTAAACCCCTTAAGTTTATTAATTTAACTAAACACCTCTAGAAAAAAAATTTAGAAATTAACAAAAACACCCCCATCCACCCACATTTGCCAAATTTCGGCCACCACCACTAAAAGGTGACCGGAATCTAGTATAATGGTGCACTACTGGCTGGATCTGGCCGGTAGTGTGTCGATCTATCATTTTTCAGCCAGATCTACTGTGGATTTCATCGAAAAAGGCCAGATCCATCGTAGATCTGGCCCTCAAAGGCTAGATACACCGTGGATCTGGCTAAAGATCTAGCCTTTTCTGGCAAGATCTATGGTGGATTTGGCTAGAAAATGTCATCTCAGCGCATAACCGACTAGATCTAGCCAGTCATGTGCTGATACGGCGACTCCGACCACCCTCTAGCGATGGTGGCCGACTGCAGGAATTTAATTGGTGGGTGGGGGCGTTTTTGTAATTTTTAATGTTTTTATTACAGGGATGTTTAGTTATTTAACAAAACTAGGGGGTGTTTTTGTTAATTTTCAAATCATACCTCATTATTCCCACCCAACTCTAAAAATACCAAAAATACTATCCAAAATACTAAAACAAACACACCCTTCATTATTCTTTAAGAATATTACAACCTTTTGGGCAATACTACAAATACCCAAAACAAAGGGAATATAGAAAAACTCTAAACTTTGGGTAAGAACCCATTACAATAGGAGTAGAAGGGAAACTAATTTTTGAGATGAACAACAATAGAACTTGGCCTCCTTTATATAGGCCCAAAATCCTAAACCTGTGTATACTTTACCACTTGATATAGGATTGCAAATTATTCCATTCTTATTGCCACTAGGAGTGGGATTGACAAATTCCTATTCCTTATGGATTTCTAAACCCATTTATATTCACACTTGATGTAGGATAGTAAATTGTCTCATTCTTAATTCCACCACCGTCGATCGCCGACTACCACTGTCGACCGTCTGCCACAACTTTCAGTCATTGGCCACCACCGACAGTCTCCGAAATGGCCTACGATCGGTCGGATCTAGCTGGCTGTGCGTTGATCTGGCCGGAATGGTTGGAAACGGCTAAATGGTTGTGGATCTGGCCGAAAACGACTAGATCCATGGTTATCAACGGCCAAATCCATGTCCACTAAAATAAATCTAGCCATCTGGCAATTTTTGACAATTTATCTAGTCGAAAACGGCCAGATTAGCGCACGGCTAGCTAAATCCACTCGGTCGTGCGCCTTTCTAGCGACTGCCGTCGGCGGCCAATAATGGTGGCCAACGGTTGGCAATGGCTTGGGTGGGTGGGGATGATTATGTTAAAATTTAAACTTTTATTGTGGTTGAGGTGTTGTAGCAAGATCTCAAATGTAAAGGGTTAAAAAAATAGTTCAAATAATAGTAATATTAAAAAAGAAGGACAATCAGTCCCATCCAAACGTAATAATATAACATATTTACCAATTTATTCCAATCAACCAAACAAATTTTCCTAAACATTCTCAGTAATCCTCAAAATAATCTATCTTCTCATTAATATAACATTTCATGAACCAATTGCACTCTTATTATATGTTTTTAATTTAACATTAGACGGCATTAGGGTTTTGAAAGGTGTTTAAATGTGTCATCGTAAAAATAAGTGAGGGAAAGTTGATTTAAAACGCCCAATTTCCTACTCGCTTGTCAATTTTAGTGTATTTGATTTTCTCTGTTTATTTAATAATTGAATTATCATGATCAAATAAAACTAATCATTCAATGTACTTAACTTGCGTCTTTATAAAATTCAATCACAATCATAAGCATGCATCTTTTAAGGGGCCCCCCAACCCCCCCGCCAAAAAAAAAAACAAAAAAAAAAAAAAAAAAAAATCTTACCTTATTATAATTGAAATATGCACAAGGCTTTGAATATAAAAACGTTATTACGTTTATTTTAATATTGAATTGTCAAAACTGATTATTTAATGTACAAAAGATTCATGTTTACGAAAATCAATCATGCATTAGTTTTTGAATCTATCTTTCAGTATTGGTCAATGTGACCAACAATATCCCTAAAAAATCTGGATTAATTTAGAATTAATCAAATCAGACCTTCTGATTTTAAAGCTTGATTCCAAGAACAATTGTATTGCCAATTTCCCCTATTTGTTTCCAAATTGAACATTAATAATCCTTCGATATTCTTTAATTATACTGCAATTAGTTTCTTTAAACAACTAATCACTACATTACACACAGTTAATAATACGACAGATTTCTATTTTTTTTTGACAGTTTCAAGAATTAAACAAGCTTTATTTCTTTGGAACAAAGATACAAACGACCCATACAGAAGCAATAATCGGCCATTTAACCAACGTTTTATTTAGTAAATTTATATTAAGATGCATTAATATTGCACCAAGCTTAAACATGCGAATTATGTAGGTGAGTTATTTTGCATGAACGAGTAATTTGAGTCCAGAGCGGCATTGGCCTTTAATACTGGAGATGAAGTAATTTGGTCCCTTTTTAAGCTTGATCCGATCCTTTCCTGTGTGATAGACTTTTGCAATTTCTGAGGCTTTACAACCTTCATACTCTTTCTTTGATACAATCGCAACGTTGTGTTCCGAAGGACTATAGTAAAATACTGTAAACTCAACATATAAATAGGATCAATTATTTGTTCATAATATCCATAATTAATTAATTAATTAAACATGCATGCAAAAAAGAGCTTCAATATATAAAAATATATATCAAGTCAAATTTATAAAATAAAATAGTTATTTTTGAAATTTTAACACTTTAAATAAGCCTAAAAAGAGCTTATGGGAGAAGCTTTGTGAGATAATTAATTTATTTAAAATTATATAAGCACTTATGAAAATGCAACCAAACAGCTAAAGTTTAATCCATATAAACAAAAATCTTATAAAATTATTGAAAAGGGCTTAATTAAAACAGTATGTGACAATCCCATAAAATAATGGAAAAGGACTTCAATAAGTTACGAAAAGAAGGTTACTATTTAATTACTGAATCAAAGTTGAAGCCATCGACAACACTTTGAGTGAAGAAAACTAAAATTTGAAGTAATGTTCTATATATGTAAACTAATTAATACTCACAGAGATCATCGTCAGTCTTAAATATCTTTTGATTAGGCCAAGTTTCAACGCCATAAGTCCAACCATTTGGACCACCAACAACGTAAGTTGCTGCTTGAGCCAGCCCACAATGGAGCACCAACAAACCCAGAAGAAATACTAGTACATTGTTAATTCTTCCCTTCACCATCTTTAATTTGAAACCCTAATTATCTGAGTGTTGTGGTGACACAAGTTTGCCCTTTATATGGAGACATTTTCCAACTACTTAACTACCAAAACAATGATTTTGCAGGAGGAATTCAAAATTGGGGTTGGCAGTTGCGCACGCTTAAGAAAGACTTGTAAAAATTACAATCACATAGGACTAGTATTATCTTTTATTTTGTTTACTGAGTGTAACGAATGGAAACATTTACAAGTCTTCTAGAAATGAAATATTTCATTATATATATGCTGTTAAACAGACTAGGAAAGTTCATTATTTACGATTAATAAGGTTAATATGAGTAAAGTTTGAGGAGTTTTGATGAATGATGATCATGAAAGAGAATAATGACAATATGAGGTCGCAATGATGTCAGAATTATAAATATAATATAAATTTAGATAATAAAATAATATTTTAAAAGTTTATATATGAGAAAGTATTATTAAACCATTATTTAGATAAGAGAATGTCGTTTACTCCGTTTTCTATATATAAAAACTGTTGACGAAACCTTATCCATGCATAAAGCCTTTAAAATAGTATCTATTTATTCATTCATCTTGTCCTTTTATCAAACCCTTAAAATAGGCTGTCTTCATTCACCATTTACATTTCGATATGTCTTTTCAATACTTACTTCTCAATTAACGTAACATTAACTTAACTTTATGTAACGATTAATCTCCAAAACGACTCCATTTTAACATAAATTATTACATAATTTTGAGTAATTGAATTAATATATTTTTGATATTTAAATATGATATAACGAATTTGTAGATTATATAAATGAGTTATTTTCAATCATTTAAATGTATTAATTCAAAGCGTAAAAAACTAAAATGTAAAACCCTTTGAACATCTATCCTTGGATAACTCAAGTGGTGGGATGAGTACTTAGATATGTGGTTAAGGCACACGATTTTAAGTTCGAATGCCTTGACTTTCAAGATTTAAATGGAAGGTCGTGACGGTGGATTAATGCGCTAGTCTCTTCCGAAGATCAATTAAAATACGTGTAAATTGACCTGAACACTTTGATTAAAAAAAAAATTATATAACTCTTTTGAAATGTAATAGATATAATTAATTATCCATATTTAAATAATTATGTAACAATCTAACAATAATACTACATCCATAACATTTTTATATAATTTTTTCTTACAAACTTATGTAATAAAGGATAATTAAGTGATTTTAAATTTAAAATAAAATTTTACTTAATCGTCTTTTACCATCTAAGTTTGTATAAAAAAATTATTAATACAATATTACTTATAATCTAATCAAAATATTATATTTACAAAAAAAATTTATAAAATTTTTTATATTAAACAAAGTAAAAAATAGGGGAAAGACCGAAAGAGTGGCCATTATATTTACTCTTTTATTTATTTTTTACAGCATCGGTATTCGTCGATTTATTCAGCTTAACATTACACTAATCTAATTTAGCAACCAGATCAGTTAAGATTTCCTAACATCCTAGTCATGACACGTGTCAGAGTACGACAACTTTGACTTACTAAGCCTGGAGCGTACAAGAAACTCATTGCTGACTCAGCTCTTTGTGGATAAGCTTCACAACAAGTAAAAGAGGATTAATCATCAACATCACCATCAAACTACATTTCCACACGAGTAAAGGTCAGAAAAATCAACCTCATGGCCCCCCAAGAATCCAGGGAACACCGGTGGCCGGTAACCAAACAGTGTTTCTAGACACGCCACTAGTGATGAGGCCGGCCACAGCCGACATCTTCCAATCGGCTACTCTGCAGGACAATTTTCCAATATTTTGAAACTTATATTTTTATATTGAATAAGATTATTATAGATATATTTTAAAAATTAAAAGAAATTACTAAATAAAAACCCATTGTAGTCATTTTACCCCTACCAAATTCATTCATAAAAGCAAAGTGATTTTATTTTAAAATTAATCAAAACAATTACTGTATAGATTATTTCTAAAGTTAATTATTCTAAAAGTTGATTCAAAAGATATTAAGGGATAAAGCTGCAATGATCTCAAGCTAGCAGCCTGTTTAATTTGAGCTCTTATCACTTTTGTCTAAATAGTCTAAGTGTTATTTTTGCTTTTTTATTTATTTTTATCTCCAAAGATAAACACATGGATTTAAAAAGTTAAAAAAATTTAACTTTTATTTGAATTTGAAAATGTATTAACAATCACCTAAATAAAAATTACAAATCTATCTTATAAGCTAATTAAATATACTTTTTTTATTCAATCTGTATTTTCATTATACTAAATAGTTAATAATTAAATTAATTAAATATAATTTTGCAGCACATGATTGCTCCACTCCAGGGGTTTCCAGTTGTAAATTGACTATGAATGATAGTGAGTTGTTTACTGATCCTATTTTATATAGAAAAACCAGTGGTCCCCTTTAGTATCTCACCATTAATTACAAGACATGATATTGCCTTTACTATAAATAATTTAACTCAGTATTTACAAGCTCCCACTCTTCTCTATTGGCAAGCTTGTAAAAGACTGATTCGATATCTCAAAGGCTCTCTACATATGGGTTACGCTTTCAAGCTGCAATTCCTCTCATGATTGAAAGCTACTCAGATGTTGATTGGGCAAGTAATCTTGATGGTCGTCGCTCCACTAGTGCTTATTGCATTTATCTTAGCGGAAATTTGGTTCAAAGGAGTTCGAAGAAACAACATGTTGTCACACGTTCATCAATTGAATTAGGGTATCACTCACTTGCTCAAGCTGCAACTGAAGTCATTTGGTTATGGCAGTTGTTTCAAGAGATTGGTGTTTCTTTGATGAATCTCCTCTTGGTCCTTTGGTGCGATAATGTGAGTGTTGCTTCATTGGCCTCTAAGCCTGTCCAACATGCTCGGACCAAACATATAGAGATTAATCTCCGTTTTATCTTAGAAAAGATTGCCAATAGAGTTATAGTAGGCCAATATATTTCCTCTAATCAACGGCTTGCTGATATCTGTACTAAACCTTTTCCCGTTACTCAGTTTGGCATTTTCTACAACAAGCTCGTCAAGGCTTGGCCTTTGCTTAGCTTGAGGGAGGATACTGACTAAAGATATCTTGGGTTGTTAATGTTTGTTGCTGTTGCTGTTGCTGTTGCTTATGGTCTGCTGTTTTTTTGTGCTGTTATTTTGGTTTGAAATTGTTGGTGCTTATGTTTTCGTTTGCTGTTTGTTTTTGCTGGTATTTTGGTTTGAAGTTGCTGGTGCTTATGTTCTATTGTTTATTGCTGCTGCATTATGTTTGTGCTACTGAAACTGGTTTCTACTGCTAGTATTGTGTCTGCTACAACAATTAATGTGCTGTTGAGCAAGCTAAGTCAAGGCTTCTTCTTTGTCTTACCTTGCTTAGCTTGAGGGAGGATGTTGAATGGTGATTAAAACAAGCTGTTGACTTTTAAGTCAAAGTTAACTTGAGTTAGTTAATAGCTTTAGTTAAGATAACCATAGTTAAAGAGTTTGTATAAAAGGACAACAATATTCTATTGTTAAGCAAGTTGAGGATTAATAAAATATCTCTTCGAAATTAGATCATAAACTTCTTTAGCGTGCATTATATAACATAGTTATATATGATCCTTGTCTTTCCAATTTTAGCTTAAATAAAAAATTAAATGATTTTAGAACATCTGCATGAACGTAATAAGAAGACATTTCTAAGCTAAAAATACTAGTTTAACTAGTGAGAAATATGAAAAGATATAACAAAAATCGTGAAAAGAAACATATACTTATTATATTCAATTGTTGCACAAGAGTGGCAAGCTGCATTGTAATCATCCTTTAGTCCAACCAGGCCCCATCCAACCAAGCTCAACACCACAAGCTTATATATACAATTTTGTTTGGTAATTAGTCGAGGTGTTCGGTTCCGGATACCCTACATTTTTTGAAGGAATCAGAATCGGAATCGACGGTTCCTTGAAATTTGGAACCAGAACCGGAACCGATGGTTCTGGTTCCTAGGTACCTAGAACCAGAGCCAGAACCTGTAACAACAGTTCCAGTTTCGGTTCTGGGTACCCTGTAAAATTAAATGACCTCCCAAAAGTTTTTAAAATGACAAAAAAAACCCTTAAAAACTTACAAATACCCCCCACCTGGCACTTGTTAACAAAAATAAAATTATAAACTCCATTACTTTGTAAAGGTAGATTCTCAAAAGTCAAACCAACTTACTTTAAATGTTATGAAATATAAATATAAATGTATTCACATTACTTTTTCTACAAAAGTGTTTATTAACCTCCGTAATCTTTAATTTTATTTTATATTAGTCTCGGTTCCTGGTTCCGATTCCAGTTCCTAACTATAGGAATCAGAACCAAAACCGCACAGTAACGGTTCCAAAATTTAAAACCAGAACCTACCCGTTGACGATTGGTTTTGGATAGAAACCGGAACCAAACATCGGGTATCCGCTGGTTCCGGTTCTAATCGATTCTTTTGAACACCCCTAGTAATTAGGCATGTCAAAATTACTCGTGAGTTTGGGCTCCAACGAGTCTTACCCTAATGGAATTGGATTTGTCAAGTAAAAATTTTGGCAGTTATCTGGGTCGAAAATTTTGCTAGGTTAAAGCAAAATATACCTTTGGATGTCATTGAACTTGCTCAACAGTACATGCTTGAAAGTTTATTCATATTCAAAAAGCAAGCAACCAAACAAAAGATAAAGAAAAAAATAAATATTATCCACGTAAATACAACACACGAGACATTTATATCGTATTACTTTCTAATGCTATGCGTAGTAAATACTACTACAATTTTTTTTTTTTTTTTGGCAGTTATATGTACTTGTAAAGTTGTATTAAAAGTTATAATCTCATAAAATCAAGAGGTAATTAAAGAGATCAAATCCTATACCAATTTAATTAATTATTTGTGATTTAAAAAAAAAAAGAGAAATCATATATGTTTAATTAATTAATTACTCATACTTCTGCCACCAGATAACCATCTTCATATATATTTTGAAGAGAGTGTGCAACATATGGAAATAATATTTACAAGTCTTCCGCGAGTGCCCAACTGCCAACTCCGGTAATTTTCATAATTCATTCCTAAAATTCAAACTTTTATCATGAGTAATCGCTCTCTGCCCAAAAATCAAAGTATTATCTTCAAACAAATAGGCCCCCACAAGCCCAAATTGTCTCATCATCGACGTCCATATAAAGAGCCCAACTTCTATCGTTTTGTTCACCAAAAACCATCAAGACATTTTCAGATTAAATAGGTTTCAAAAGATGGTGAAGGAAAGAAACAATGCAGTGGTTGCCACAGTAGTTCTGGTGGGTTTGTTGGTGCTCCATTGTAAGATGGTTGAAGCTGTAACTCATGTTGTTGGTGGTGAAAGTGGTTGGACTTATGGCGTTCAAACATGGCCTTATAAAAAGAAATTTAAGGCTGGTGATACTCTCGGTGAGTTTCTATTTCCCTTTTTGCTTCCGCTTTTCTCGTCACCTTGTCTAAATTTATTCAACTGATACACATTTTCAGATTTTCGTAATGCATTATTAATACATTTGTGTTGAATTTACATGCAGTATTTAATTATAGCCCAAAGGAACACAACGTGGTGTCTGCAAGGAAAAAAGAGTATGATAAATGCAACCCATCATATGATTCAAAAGTATATAACACAGGACACGATAAAATCATAGTTAAAAAGGGAGAAAACTATTTCATCTCCGGTTTCAAAGGCCAATGCGCCTCTGGACTCAAATTATTCGTTCATGCAGAATAATCATCCGCCTGCCTTCTCATGATATATAAAAATGTACTAAATAAAATGTTGGCTGAGTGGCTTGACATGCATGTATGGTTTTTCTTTCGTTTCCAGGAAATAAAGCTATATTTTTAATTATTGAAACTCTTGAAAGGTTATAGCATTTTTCTAATTAAGTTTTTTTATGGGAATCAGTAGCATAAGGAAAAGCTGTCTGAAGTCTGAACGAATTCTCAGATGAAATACACGTAATCAAGCAAAGGTTCTGATAAACTTTGGAGTTTTCAAACTATATGTGCTTTAAAATATTAGATGTATTCTATGTTTTTAATATATCTTCTTAGATCTAAGACATGGTGTGTTCATAAACTTATTGGCTCTATTGTTGAAAGGGAACCGCACTTAATTACCCAATTGTAATATTTTTAGGCTGTAAACTAATAAACTAATTGAACATATAAGTTAACGAGTCTCATTTGCAATGTTTTCAACTTTATGTTTCTTTAATTATATTGTATTCAGTGTTCTTTGAAATTCTAGAAATTAAATGAATATATATATATATATATATATAATATAAAATTTATGTACATGGGCTTCTGGAATCACTTTTGATTGGTAGCTCCCAACCCAATATATATATAAAATTGTATAGATAGAAAGGTTGTTTTACCGTTACAATTAATGGGCTTCTGGAGTCACTTTTCACATATTTTTCTTAATATCTTTCACGCAATCAAATTGATGAACAAAATTTTATCTCACAAGTGAAAGAATCAATATGGTAGTATAGTAAGCATATACGAGAATCGTATCCACAGAGATTTGTGAAGTTATTCAATTAAATCTAATTATGCAATTCCTTAAAAGAATAAAATAAAAATGGGCTAATGGAATTATTGAAATTAACTAAATATTTTTTAGAGAAGTTGGATTTTGATTACAAGTAATTTAAAGTGCAAGTGATTAATAAAAGCTTTTGAGATTGACTTTACTAACAATGAATGGAAACACTGTTGGGTGGAGAAAATACGTCCGAGTATTGGTGAATAAGGACATCTCCAACCCAGTGCTAAGCGCCACGCCATTTTGGTGTGGTGCTACAGCGGTGCACCAAGGTGTGGCACTGTAGCGCCATCAATTTTTTTTTTTTTAATTTTGTTAAGTTAATTTAAGTATTAAATTTCACACCAAATTTGATTATTTGTATTTAGTTTAATTTGATCATTATTTATAATAATGAATTCATAATAATGATAAAATTCAAAAAATGATGAAAAATTAAAAATAAAACTTTATTCAATACAAATATTAAACTACAATAACTCAAAATAAAAATTAACACTAATTTAAAAACAGTAAAATTAAAAGAAAATACAACATAAACTAAAATAACAATTTAGTATTCCGGTAGATTAATTCTGGATCCAGTAAGATCATCAAAATATTGAAAAGAACTAGAGTTATTTTGAGATCCTTGACCTTGTTGTTGAGCTCTTTTTTGCATAATTCTTGATTGCTTATTTTAAAAAAACTCACGTAGGCTTGGATCGATTATAGAATTCAAATCCTTGAATAAAATTTTGTTATTTTCTCGATATTTTGCCAAAGCCAATTTTTTCATTTGGATTTCATAATTTTGTGCCCTAGCTGAGTTGCCTCGATTAAAAAATAGCAGCGAGCTGTCGATTTTTTTCTTGAATAGTTTCAAAACTGTTTAAAACTTCTTTATCATTTTTCCTTTTAAATTTTGCTTTCTTCACCCCAATGGGTCGTTGAGCTGAACTACCCCCAATATTTTCATCACTTATGTTTAGAGAATTTGACGACATGTCACAAGGCATCGATTGGAGAGACTTTGAAGTGGGAGTCTCTGATTCTTGTGATACAAACCTACCGGTTTGCCTTTGAAATACTTCTGCGGCATTAACATTATCTGTAAATTTTTCAATATCCTTAAGTATAGGCCACGCATGATCAAATTTGAAACCTTTCTTGTAACTTTTATCTTGTGCTAGTAACATTTTGGCTTGAATCATCTACAAAACAATATACATATAACGTTAAAATCAATTAGATAAAAAAAAAAATTATTAAATGTAACAAATACTAACAATATCTTACTCAGAAGCACCACTTGGATTCATATTTTCAATTTGACGTACGCATCCCCTCAATTTGCCAATAGCTTTAAAGATCAGTTACATTCGACATTGCAAAGATCCGAACCTGGGTGAGAAACACGGGTTTGGAACTATTGTAGTCAAGCTCAACTCGAGACTAGAATTGATCACTAGATTGGTTTATGCCTAAAATCGAGTTTTGAGAAATATCAAGATAAATATGACATAGATGCATGTCTTCTTCATTTGTGTACGAAGAACTTCGTTGTGTAGTCATTTTGTAACACAAATGAAGAAGATATATGCTTTTTTTTTTTCTAAGAGGAAATAGAAGAGATGTGTTCAAAACTAATGTGTTGTATGCTCTTTTATAACATAAGTTTGAATTGAAAGCTTGAATGGACAACACATCTTTTTGAGCTTGAATGCACAATACATCTTTTGAAATAAGCTACAAATCTAAAAAGCTTGAATGGACAATACATCTTTTTGAATAAACCACAAATTTCAAAAGCTTTAATGGACAATACATCTTTTTGAATAAGCCACAAATCTCAAAAGCTTTAATGGACAATACATCTTTTTGAATAAGCCACAAATCTCAAAAGCTTGAGTGGATAATATATCTTTTTCAATAAGTCACAAATCTCAAAAGCTTGAATGGACAATACATCTTTTACAATAAGCCACAAATCTCAAAAGCTTGAATGGACAATAGATTTTTTTTTTTTTTTTTTTTGGTATCATTTTATATTAGATGTAATGTTTTTCTATATTAAATGTAATGTTTATTTGATTAAATAAATGCTTAATTTTATTAAATTAGTATAATTTTCAAAGTAATTATTATTTAATAAAAATATCATTCCCAATATTTAATTAATATATACAAAAATAATGAATGAAATAGATTAATTGTTGATTATTACAATAGAAGAAAAAGAAAGAGAATATTCTAAGGAATATTCTTTTTAGTGTAATATTTGGTATAGTGGGTTGGAGATGCAATAATGGGTTGGAGATGGTCTAATAGATTAGACAGGGCTAGGGAGGGTAGCTTCTGGTAAGTCTACATGGTGAAGATATATTTGGAAAAGTTGGCCACCTAAAAAAGGTGGCGGGAGAGAATTGCAACATAGAAAGGATATTGAGTTGTTCTCATGCAATACACACTGTCGGCCTTGTAACTCAAACTCCATCGGCAAGTTATGAAAGTCCCATAAAATTGTCCCTAAGGTGCGTAACCAATGAGCGCCTAAAACAGAGTCACAGCCTACCAAAGGAAGCAAAAAGAAATCCATTGTAATAGTGAATCCAGGGAAGTCCAGTGAAACATCCTTACACTGAACCTTACTATGAAGTGATTCTCCATTGGCCACCACGACATTGATCAGGGAGGAAGAAGTCACTGGAAGGCCAACTTTGGTAGCTATCGTTTGGTCTAAGAAGTTATAAGTGTTGGACAATTGTTAGGGCCAAAAAATGTCCTCGGCCCAAATAGGCCCAAAGACGAAGACACCTTCAACAAAGCTAGAACTTAGAATTGGGCCCACAACAGAGTTCTACAGATGAGGCCCTTTCGGTATGCCTTCCCAGTTGCTCACCATTCGGACCCAATCAGCAGAGGCCCGATTCGTTTAGGCCTCATTGTCAGCTTATCTGGGCCCAGGCCTTCTGATCCTAAAACACCTTCTGGACTTAAGATCTACTTGGAGCCCAGGGTCGCCTACGTACTCTAGTACTAGCTGTACTCTATTAAAGAGATCAATCACTACCCTAATTCATCTAAGATATGTATCATAGGCTAGCTGGGACTCCCTTTCCTACTGAGGTAAGGGAACCAAAGGCTCCACTCTTTCACAAAACCCCAACTACAAGGACTCCCAGTCCCACCAGGATTCGAAGACCCTACAGTCACTATTTAAACATAGGCCAGCCCTCTCACAAAGACAGACACATTACACCTTCAGACCCTAGAGTTCCCACTCTTGAGAACTTCGCATTACAGTCGTAGTTACTAGACTTCCGGTAACCTTTTCTCTCCTTAACCCTCACTAAATTAGCCTCACTCAGCCTTACTAACTTGAGCGTTGGAATGCCTATGGCAAACACCACCCCAATGTTTTCCGTTCACTTCACGCTTGTTTTCTTACGTGTGCAGGTGCAGCAGATCGCTAGTGGCCTCACGAGATTAGTCCCTATTTTAGTAAAGGTAGATTTTTGCATCTCCAGTTTGGCGCCCACTATGGGGCCTCTGGTAATCATTCGTCTCACAGACCCTGCTACATAAGCAAACTCTCTATGGCTGAAAATTCTGATAACACTAATCCTGGCCTCGAGGCCATACTGGAAGCTCTGACTGCCCTTATGCAACAGCACTCAAACAAGGTGACCGCACTGGAAGTTGAGAACACTGTCATCCGAATCGAAAACGCCTCCATTAGGGCCGAAAACTAGCTCTAAAAGAGAAGGTAAGTCAATTTTATGATCTTGAGCTTTTGCCTTGTCAGGTACAACCCAATCGGTTCCGCGCATCAGTTCCGTCCATGCAACCTCTCCAAACTCCAAAGCACAGACCAACGATCCCGGATACGAGGTCGCGCCAACTATGTTCGTCATTAGTGGACGATTCAGCCCTGAATCATAGCGAACGGGGGCTGCCGACAGAACCACTCTCGGTCATTCCACTTTTGGCACGAGATCAAGGCGTCCAAGTAACAAAGAGCCCACCACAACAAGAGCCACCCATCCTTGCCATCTCATCTCACCTTCAGTCAACCATCCTTACCCAAACCCCACTCGGCTCGACTCGACTCATCCTCGCGAGTCGAGTAGGCTCCCTCCCCTTCAAACCATCCCGCACGAGTCCATCCATCCCAACAGATCGAGCGAATCCCAAATAACCCCTCTTACCATCCATGTGGGACGAAACACTCGATCAGTCACAATGGGAGCCACCCAACCGAAGGGAATAAATGGAGATCCAGGATACCAAGTGGCACATGACGGAATGATTCGGTA